ACACATACAGTTACACATTGTATGTGCTGCGTTCGGGCCCGCTGGGATTTTCTGGAGTTGGTGTTCCCCGTCGGCGGATATCTTGAATCATCTTGAGGTATCTTGGGCCATCTTGGAGGCCATCTTGGGCTCCCTGAGGCCGCCTTGGAACCATTTCGGGCCATCTTGGACGCTCTGACTACCCGCGCCCCCCCCTTCCCAGGCCCAAGGGAGGTGGTATGGGGAAGGGGTACACCCTTCCCCGGAGCAGCAGGAGGAGGAGTTTTGGCAGAAAGACATATATATATATATATATATATATATATATATGTATGTAGGTATATGTATGTATAATATATATATATATATAAGAAGAGAGAGAGAGAGAGAGAGAGAGAGAGAGAGAGAAAGAGAGAGAGAGAGAGAGAGAGAGAAAGAGAGAGAGAGAGAGAGAAAGAGAAGAGAGACAGACAGAGAGAGAGAGAGAGAGATAACGAAAGAGAGAGAGAGAGAGAGAAAGAGAGAGAGAGATAGATATACGATATATTATATATATATATATATATATAATATATATAGAGAGAGAGAGAGAGAGAGAGAGAGAGAGAGAGAGAGAGAGAGAGAGAGAGAGAGAGAGAGAGAGAGAGAAAAAAAAAGAGAGAGAGAGAGAGAGAGAGAAAAACAAAACATGCATTACGTTAAGCCATCTACGCCCAGAGGGCTGTTGGGATTCCGAAGCCCTCCCACCTCTCTCCTCCCAGCTCCTCGGGCCCCTTCCTCCTCCCCGTCTCTTCTTCGGGATCTTTCCCCCCTCAACTAAACCACGCTGCGTTCTAGCACCTGGGGGAAAAAAAAACAGAAAAAAAGAAGATCTTTTCAGGAGGCAGGCCTTCTCAGAAGGTGGCGGGTCTCCTCAGAAGCCCTCGCGCCGTCTGAGAGGTTCCTTTCTGTTCTTTTGCGAATCCGTGGATGGCGTGGGGAACGGGCTGCGTGCCCCTTCCTGCTGTGCTGGGGGGCAGGGCCTCCCCCCAGGGCGCCTCCGACAGGTCGGGGGGTGAGCCTGGGCCGTGGCGCGAGGAGGACGAGGGGCTCGAGCAAAAGGAGCAAGAGGAGGCCGAGGACGCGCAGGATTTCTTTCGGGCATGCCCCTCTACAGGAGGAGTCTTCAATAATATTCAAAACCTAGTCGGGGAACGATTTTCCATGAGTTTAGATTATTGTCGAGTTTTTGATTACATTTTACTGTCCGAAATCCGCCTGTAGGAGGAAATACCCGACCTAAGCGTAGGAGGAGGATTCCAGATCCAGTCTGCCCGGCGATGCCTCGTGAACGGCAGCGCCCTCGTGCGCCCATTTCTGGCCTCCGCTTTGCCACGACCGCCCCCCCCTCCCCGAAGTTCTGGCTTCTTCGAGTGGACGCGCTCTGCGTTCGACTTCGCGGTGTCGCGTTCTGCTGGGGAGGCTGGCCAGCAGCCCGAGGAGCGACCCGCCACTCTTGCTCTCCAGGGGATTGCCCTCGAGAGGCCCTGACTCCTGACACGATGTGGCACCACGTGAGAGGTACGGCCCCAAGCACATGTCGCTGCGCTCGGGCTGAGCCTGCCTAGCTGCCCATTTGGAGCGCTCGGCTCCGCGTGCAGTACGGCGCTGGGCCAACGTCGTCGAACCTTTTTCGACGATTTCGGGTGTGTGTGTGTGGGGCGGGCCCAGGAGGAAACCCAGGATACCCTCACTGTCGCTGCGAGGGGGGGCGCAGAGTGAGGTGTAGAGATAGGATCCCCAAGGGGGAGGGCAGATGCGGGGGAGCCAGAGAGTGGGGTAGCCCAGGGGGCAGAGTTCAGGGGCGCGCGAGGGGACAGGATTGGAACGGTGGTCGTCACAGGGGATCTCATATGCTTCTGGCTTGTATCGGCTTGGGCGCCTGCTTCCAGGGTGGTCTTAGCCACCCCCTCCCTTCCCCCTCCACGTCACGATGACTCCGTCTGAATACTGTTCTCCTGGGGAGTCGCCCGCCCTCTCCGCGTCCTGTTCTTTGCGCTCGATTTCATTATTGGGAGGGCCTCGCGGCCGGCGCCGCCAACCCCGCAGGGGGACGACGGCGGCGGCGGCGATGATGACGACGCTGACGTGGGTCAGAGTCCTCAGGGATGCTTCTTGGGGTCTCTTCCGAGCGCTCTCGGGGGCCTCGGGGGGCAGTTTTGGAGCCTCTCGGGAGCCACCTGGGGGCCTCTCAGGAGCCTCTTGGGTGCCTCTTGGGGTTTCCTGGGTGCTGTCTTGGGGGCCTCTTGGCCTGTCCTCTTGGTCCGTCTTGGAAAGTCGGGAAGCCGAAAACGCGAGAACGCCAACATCTATCAAATATCGAAGGCAAATCAATGAAGTTTGCGTCGTGGGGCCTTCTTGAGAGTGCTCTTTGAGGCCTCTTAGGGCGTCTTGGAGGCCTCTTGGGCTGTCCGGAGGCCATCTTGGGCGTCCTGGACCAATAGTTCGACGATTCGGGGACCCCTTGGACCCTCTTGGGGGTTTTCTTGGGCACTCCGTGCCCTTCTTGGGGCTTTCTGGGGCTCCCGGACCTTCCCGGGGGATGGTATTCTGATCCGGGAACCCTGTCGCTACC